ACCTTGCCCTGCCACTAGTTTGTTTTAATAAAAGGAATCCATGTCAGGAGATGTAATAATACTTTTCAACTATATGAACACACAAGAAATAACCCACTACAGGAAACATAGTGTGTGGAAATGAAGAAAAAAGAAACAAAACCAAAACATTATCTCTCCACTTCAGAAGAAAAGAGTTTTTCATATGCTTAAATTATAAAATAGTGATTTCTCTCTAGAATGTTGTCTTGCCAAAGTGTATTCCTTGCATTCTGGGAGCTTTTAAAAATTAAAAGATTTTGTACACCTTTACCCTATATTGGTTTGGTCAAATATTTTTATATTAATCTATGAATTAATTATGAAATTTGAATCGTCCAAATGCTCATAAGATATCAAACATCCTAAAATGCCAATGAAATATTTAGAGTTATCAAAGTTTTTAAAGCAATCATAAGTGATGATTAATTTGGATGATGAATACATGTGGGGGAGGCTTAAAAACTTGTGAGATCATATCATAGGAAGTGAAAGATATATTTAAATATTGATGTGCTGAGAGTTATCATAGGTTAACTACTGAATGAGGTTCTAGAAAAGATGATGGGGAGAAGGACACCATGAGATTGTAATTACTTAATAGACATCCAAAGATTTACTTTCTTTTCTGAAGCTCTTTGGTGACAGTCAAGAATTTTCTTCTTCTTTTGCTTTGCTTTTCCTCTGTAGTGGCCCAAGGAATCTGTCATGCATGTAACTTAAGTAACAAGTCATAATACTTAAAGTAAAGCAATTACTGATTCAGAGTTAGGATAAAATGCCAGTATAAGGACAAGACTATAGACTTAGAAAATAGCTGATACCCAACTACCCATTTTCAGTTAGCAAATCGTGGTTTGATGTTCTAGGTATAAAAAAGACCAGATATTTGAAAAATTATTTTTGCGAGTAAGTTAAGTTTCCCTGCAGTGCAGTTTAAAAAAAAAAAATTTCTTTTCTCCAGTTTATGCTAAAAAAAGTCCTGGTTTGCAGGTTTAGTGCAGAAAGGGAAGTTCTGGATTTTAAAGCGCAAGAATGCCCTGTGAGTGATGACATTCATTATTTACTAAACAATAAATACAAACAAACAAAAAGTATAAAAAAATTGATCTTCACTGGCTTTTTAATCAGCATAGTGCATGTATATCTGATTTTGACTCATCTTGGATTAAAAGAGGCAGGAATTCAAAGGCTAAATACTTTTACGCATAATTGCCACGCAACCCATGCAGTTGAATGCGCACTGTTTAAGCATAATATACTTTATTGGCATTACACTCAGCTACCAAAAATTAAAGTCAAATTTGAGTTTGTTTCACTAGTAACAAACAGTGTTACTCATTTATATTAAAGCTAAGCCCAGGCACTGGAATGTGTAACCTGGGATGGAAAAATCTTCAGTGGTATTGCAGAAATCAACATGGAGGGTTACAATGGTGAGTATTTAATCCTCAAAGCAACCACTTTACAATCATCCAGTTGGCATGTACATGTAAGCCAGTGAAATTACCGAGCAAATTACATTGAACTCAGATTTTATAACCTCACTTGCTATTAACCCTCTCCTGCCCTGTCCAAATATACACACACACAGTTCACCTACATATTTCACCTCCATACCCCTGTGTATTTTCTTAAGAATTGCTTCTTCCCCGCAGTGAGCACACAGAGACTATGCATAACAGCAGTCAAACAATTCCTGATCCTTCCTAGAGCACTAAACAAGCAGTCTCTTAGCAAGCATTTACTATGGTTAGAGCATCCAAATTGTCATCTGCCCTCAAGAACAGGAATTCATGCATCTTTATGCTTCATATCCTAGAGTATCTATTTTCCAATGCCATGTCATTAATTAACTTTTACTAGTACATTGCCATTCAGTTACTAACCAGGTACACTGATGCCATGCATACAGTTTAATTATACACAGTCATGCTCAACGTATCTGATGTTCTATTTTACTTCCATTTAGCTAGATAATAGCAGCAGCAAAATTTGAAAGGAAGCAACATTTTAGAGCAATTAACATTCTCACAGAGGTAAGAGCATTTTAACTTTGCAATTATCAAGCTGGCAGTTAACTTTCACTATAGGTATGCACTGAAAGTTACTCCTTCAAAATTCCCCTTCTCTGTTACTTGTTGAAAGAATGGATGATTCTGAAAAGAATTCCCTGTATAAGAACTTTTAAATGTGTAAAGAATGGGAAGTGCAAGTGATATTGTACAGTACTGATTTCCCAAAACACCTGATATGCCACCGGCATATTAAAAAAAAAAACCACAAACAAATCTAGTTTTGCCAATTTCTGCTATGAAGCAGAAGTGTTATACATATATTTCGCTAACTGCCTCACTCTGAAATAGGAAATTCCTTTCTGCTGCAGACTGAACCGAGTTACACTCAATGGCTGGAGCAGATGGCGAGGTTAAAAGTTTTGTGCAGCGCTGTAACTTGGAGCGTGCTCTCGGATGCTCTGTGCCACCCCGCTGAACACTGCCGGCAGCTCCCTGCACGCCCGGGGTGGGCCAGATAAAGGGGAAGGTGCATCGTGCCCCTGACCCCTTATGCGTAATCAAACCGCATTCTCGTCAGCACTGATTAGCCCAGAGAGTTGGGGACTTGCAAATAAATGCATGTCACCACTTGGCTGGGAAGGACGAAATAAAGGTGGTTTTAAACAGTGAGTGACAGAGTTTTAGAAAGGCAGCGTGGCAAAGCTCCCCCCCACAGCATTTAGTTTCAGGACTATTTTTGTTAGAAATAGAAGCTCCTTGAGTTAATGGCAATTTAGCCTCAATATTAATTTGCATGCATGACACATGATCCCTTGAAATCATACCATCTTCACAATCACTTAGATCAGCAGCAAAGCAAAGCTTGGTTAATACAAGGAAGTACATGACAACACGACCACTGATGATGCAGGAGGTAAAGGTTTTTTTTCTTCAAGAGATTACTAAGTCCCCCCTGCCCCCCCAAGTACATGAGGAACCAGCACCAAAAACTACAAGGATGTGTGTATTTAACAACTCCATTATCAAATTTCTGTATTTTGAGGTCCACTTAGAGGCTGATATTTCTCTAGAGGTTTTCTTTTTCCTTTGGACACACATTAAGATCTGTGTCTAATGAACACGGACTGTGTTTCAAGCTGTGTTAAAATATATTATGGATGCTTCCCTGAGAAAAGGAGTATGAAGAGGGAAATTCAGAAGCAAGAGTTTGACATGGTACTCCCCCCTCGAGGGGCAAGTTAGAGATAAAGTTATATAAGACTAAGTGACAACAGGGCATCATCAGCTACAGTTATTGGTGCCTTTGAGCTAGGAGATGTTTGTTAGCAGGATCTTTTCTGACTGCCTGGAAGGACAGCAGGTAGAAAGTGTAATCAAAGCTGAGATGATGAAAACAAGGGAAAGCTTGACTGTGGCAGGTCCCTACAGAGGGCTGCAAAGCAAGAGATAGGAATGTTCAGCTTCTACTTTGTTCCCCAATAGTCAAACCTATGCAATTTTTCTGCAAAAGGGGAGAACTGGCAGCACTTTTACCAAAACTGACTGACAGCAATAAAAACAGGAATCTTATCATGGGAAAAACAAAACACAGCATAGAACTCTTTAGAATTTAAGACCACAAAATTAAGACAAGCAGCGCCATTTACATCCTCCTCTGTCCTTCAAGGACTGTAAAAATAGTGTAAGTCACCCACACTAAGTATCTTCTCCCCTTGACTCTTGCCCCTCTCCCACACACTTCCTAAATCTCAGCTGCCTGAACAACTGGCCACTACCGAACATCACGCAGAACACTGCCGGAACAAGAGAAAGCACTCCACCTTAGAAGAAAGTTTGGTTGCCAGTAAAATAGGTAATAAAAGTCTGAATAGTCTTAGATGGGGGCACAGTGTTGCAACCTGATTTGTGCAAATCACAGGTGACACTCTCTGCTGCACACACGGGTTTATTTACACTTGTAACTTAAGCGCTGCCTCAACCAGAACAGCTCCAGTGCAGAGTCAATGCCAAAGCCTCTCGCTTCATTCTAATGTAACTCAAACCACATTTGTCATCCTGATAAAAGAACAGAAAGCAACAAAATAAAAGATATTTTGGATACTGTAAAAAGGCAGCACAGTCCTCAGCCTCCATATCTTTCAGCAAGTGACTACTTCCTCGTTTCTGGCTTTTATTTTTTCATATAAGGCTTAGATTACCTGAAAATACCTGTCAACTGGTAATGCCCAAGAGGATGATAATAGAAACTTTCAGATCGAAATTAATGGAGCAGAGCCGGGCTAGGGGAATACTTCTCCTTCTGAAATTCCAGCATTCAGAGCCTTCCGATACATCTCATCCCCACTTTAACTGCACACGTAAAGCAATCATCCTCACCCTAATTAACACTAGCCGTACCAGGGCAGCTGTCGGGGACAGTATTGGGAAAAAAAAGAAAAAAAGCCAAATCCTTGCTATCTGCCTGGTCTCACTCCCAATAGGTGCTTAGTATTTCATCTGAATTTTAAAACTGATGAAGCTTTCGCAGGGGGATTTTTATTCTGCCGAGAAGGAGAGAGGAGACATGGGTGGGTCCGGGCTGGGTGCAGGGGACAGGTGCCTGTGGACGGACCCGCTGGGCACGGAGGGGAGAGCGCTCAGCTACGCGCGACCGATGCGCGTTTCTTCCTCCACGTTGCATCAGCAGCAGCAGCAGCCGATAAACCCCCGCGCTCGCCCCGCGCCCGCCTGCACCGACCTGCCGGGACACTGAGCACCCTGGGAGGGGGGACACACAGCGTGGAGACCACCAAGTGACTTGGGAAAGGGGGGCTGGAGGCACGACCCCCCGCTTCCCCTCCCACGGAAGGGCGGGCGGCGCGGGGGGGACGCGGCCGGAGCCCCGCGGCGGGGGCTCGGAGCCGGGCGGTACCCGGAGCCGGGGCGGGGTGGGGGGGACCGGCGGCAGCCCCCGCTGCCACTTACATTCTGTCAGAGACCAGCAAGCGGCCGTCGACCATCATCTCCGGAAGGAAATCCAGCTTGAACGAAGAAGTCATGCTGGGCTCCGGGGGCGCCGCGGCGGTCGGCGGGAGGATGCGGCGGGGCGCGGCGGATCCCACAACTGCGCCGGGCGGCGGAGCGGCAGGCACAGGTGCGGAGGCCTCCCCGCGGCAGCCGCCAGCCCCGGCAGTTGTCACATTTCTCTCCCCCTCTCGGTTTTTTCCGCCAATCCCCTCCGAAATCGACTGCTGAGGCAACTGTCGGTGGAGCGCCAGGTGCTGAGCGGGGAGGCGGAGCCATCTCCCCGCTGCGGCTCCCCGTTAACCCCTGCGCCCCCGCCGCCCCGGGAGAGGCCTATTGCCGCCGCCGGGCCGGGGGATGCCCGCCCGGGGCTCCGGGGCACCGCCTGACCCGGCCCCGGGGGCGGCGAGACACGCCCGGCGCCTCCGCGGCGCTGCCCGGCCCCGCGCTCCCAGCGCGGTGTGCGGGGAGCTGAGCCCCGCACCGGCGGAGAACCCCCCGCTGACACTGCTGGGAGCACACGCGAGTGGTTAGCACGGGCACAGCTCTTCCCAGTACGGTGGGAGCCAAACTGGGAGCACTGGGATGGTTTGGGCAGGTTCTGAGTGCGGGTTCTCTCCGCTCAAAACTCCTGCCATGCAGACCTTGGCATCCTTTAAATGCTTAAGAGTGCTGTTACTGGCTGGTAGTAACTCTGTCCCCACTGATCAGAAGCAGCGATTTAAATAAGTAACGACAGCAAATCCTTTCTCAAGTCTGTAGCTTCCCAAAAACCCGTTCCCAACCCGCTGCTCTCCCGAGTTGGCCGCACACAGAAGTGTCACAAAGTCGAACACAAAATTCCTCACATACAAGTAGCTGGAGCACCCCCCCACCACCCCCCGCCCCCTGAAAATCTGTATAAATTTTCCTTTCCATCTCCAAAACCTACTTCCCTCAATACAAAGCCGCTCCAGGCAAAAGAATATTAACATATTTACAAAGATTACTGGATGATCTGAGCAGTCTAGACAGACAGAACGTTCCTCTTCATTGTGTGTGCTTCTCCATCTGAATCTCTCTCCAGGTTTTATAATTTGATTTGTTCTGGATAATCAACACTTGCAAAAAGTAACAAACGCAAATTAAAACCTACTACGCTTAAACTTTTCAAAGAGTATTATCATATAAAAATTAAAGTGACCCATAAATAAATATGCTATCAGGCCAAGTTTTATTTAAATTTTGACCAACGTTGATTTTATAATAAAAAATACAGACCAGGCAAATTTTCAGGGTCCAGTTTATTGCACTAAGAGACTTTTCCATTTTAAATAGTTAAAAGGATGAAAAACCCCTCAGGCTGCTAAAATTTTTGCCTACTTTGCAAGTCTAAAGAAAGAAAAGGTTCACTTGGCCCTCAGCGTAATCCCCGTAGGACAGCTGCAATCCTGAACAGTTATCTATAGTGTTATTAATCTGCTCTGTTCTATACGTTCACATACTGTCCTCATCACCATGGCACCTAAACATCCACGTAGAAAGGCACAAAGCAAAGCTATGGCTCCGCTTTACTAAACTCATGGTGATTCCTTTACGCCACCCCATCCATCACAGCGTAGGACTATACAGCGGATAAAAAAATTAAGTGCAAAGTCCAAATGAAAGGAGAAACCAGCACAACTTTCTCCAGCTGGATGTAGCCACCTGGGTTTTGATCTGAGGCCTCCATGGTGGTTAATCCGGCCCAGAGCAGAGTTGGATTAACTTTCAATTTCAAAATCTTGCCACTGCAGAAGGGACAGGTTTTAGCTCAGAAGAAATACAGGCAGCTCAGTGAGGATGAAGATATTCTTTTAAGTAAGAAGTCTCCACCCCCACTTCACCCTGTGCGGCTGGATCTGTAGCCCTTCATCATCAGTTTTTTTGGTACGTGCTAAATCTAAGGGAGTTCAGTCTCACCAGCCTGTCGCTTTTAAGGACCACAGTCCCACTGCTGCTGACTGAAAAGTAAATCCACGCTTCGCACAGGATGCAAAGAGGGAGGAGGAGAGAATCACAAATAATTTTGCTTAAAATCTGCATATGGAATAGAGAGATCTTTATAAATTTGCCCCATTTTGCAAGGTGTAAGTGCTTAAAAATGCTTCATTAAAACGTATGTTCTTTTGAAATATTTATTTTCCTTTTAATTACATGTGAATTAGCTGGAAGAAGCTGTAGGGAAGCCCTCTTACTGACTTAAGCCTTCTCAGCAGTTTGTTAAATTCTAGCCTCAAATCCCTTGAGGGAATAGTGGATTCAAAGCAGCTTTTAATCATACTATAAGGAGGGTGAAGTAGTATGTAAGTAGGTCATAGAGAAAGCATTACAAGTGCATAGGTTATTGCTTTATTTAACAACTACAGTGTAACACACTTTTCAAAGCACATTTGCTTTTGCCATTTAAAAGTTAGAAGCAGGAACAGGGTCAAATGCAAAAAGAAGCCCTCTCCATAAAAGATACTGAGATACGACTCAAGGAGAGCTTAGAGGGGAAAAACTGCATTCGAATAATTTGGTTCTCAGACATAAATTATGTAGTGGCTACGTATGAATTAACTCTCCATCGCAGAGGGTAAGTGATGAGAAACAAAAAACCCTGAATGTTTCACACACTGTTACAGGCTCATCTCTGTTATTAGTAACATTAATGCCAGATTCCTGAGCAGCACATGTGTGCAAAATAGGAACTTTTATTAAAAATTAAGGAAAGAATGGAAACTCTGCTCTGTTGCTACAGTACAGAGGGAAATGAGGATGGAGAGTGGCAAGTGAAGCTGCATTAATTTTCGCAGCATAAATCAGACAACGGCTCCAAACAGTGGCTTAGAGGAGCTGCATTATTGCTGTGCTATTGCTGCCTGCTGATATTAAGCTTTTTCAACTGGTGGTGCATATGGCAGTTTTGAGGAGGGGACCTGGAATTTGGAATCATCAGTTCTCGGGTTTTAATCCTATTCCAGCCACAAATGCTGCCTCCTATCCATCCTCCCCTCATTTCAGAGGCCCAGCCCCTGCTTGCCCCTGCAACCACCTAATTTATTCTTTGTGCCTTGGTTTCTACATAAGTCTAAGTGGGGCAGATGAAGCAATTCCACCTCACCTTTGCAGATTAGTCACCGTTCAAGCAGCTTTTCAAACACAGAGCTACATGCAATTTTTCCAAACAGCTCAACCTTTGAAAACCAAACACCTCTTCACAGAAAAAAAACCAAAAGAAAACTAAAAACCACACAAAAAGTTCTTCTGCAGAAGGCCAGGATTGAGCGGTGAGTTGCTGTCGCACGTATGAGCTCACTGTGACATCACTGCCCGTGGCTTCATTCAGCAAGTGACAAAGAGAGCAGACGCCTCCTTCCCTTCCAGATCCCAGAGCCAAATCCACTGTGGAGCTCACATCACATCCCCTCTCCAGACCCCCTCCTCACCCTATCTGTAAATGCCATTTTTCTAATCAACTTGCCTCCCAGTTTTGGGCCAAGGAAATGCTACTGTTGGAATCACTTCAAGGGAAAGTTTCCGAATGACTTCACTCTCTCCCAAGCCTGCAAGGCAGTATGAAGAGAGTTCAAATCCTCTGCTTTATTCCCCCCTAAGCCAATGAACATGCTCGGGATTCAGGTTATCTCTGGCATCAAAGCAAGTTTCTAACAGAGGAAGCAGAAGCAGAGCTCAGTGTCGGCGGTGTAAATTTGGAGCTGGCTCAAATGATTCAGTGGAATCATTCAGGATCTTCCACTAATGCGAGGGGGAAAAGGAATCTGGTCCAGCTAGTGTTAGTGAATGCAAATGAGGTGTTTGCTGTCTTTCACAAAGAAATAACCTTCCAGGAAAACCATGAGCCTGGAAGTAGTAACATGACTAAGAGCAGACAATGCAGCATTTTGGTTTGTGCAGTGGGATGTGAGCCTACCTGCCTATAAGGGAGGAAGCCCATCAGATTAACTTTTAGTAGCAGACTTTTGGAGGGGAAAGAAAGGGTGGGGGGAGAGGGAAGGAGCACGAAATAAAAAGCAAAGCAAAGCAAAGCAAAACGCAGGAACACAAGTTACACAAAGCATTTGGACAGAGCTAAAGAATGGAGTAAAAGTCATTAACAATTAAAGCAAAAAGTAGTGCATTTCTTTGAGTGGCAAAAAGTGGTCCCAATTCTGCACCATTTTACCATTTGTGTAGATTTTGATTACTTGTAGCAAAACCGTCTTTGTAAGTTAGGTCTGACATTAGAATACATTTTTGCTTATAAAGCCTTAACCTTTCAGTAAGGATTTTTTATTTACAAAACCAAACACACAGTAGTCTTCCCTTCATCTTATTTTAAGAAATAAAATAGCTTGCATATATCTGAAACCCTTTTAAAAAGAAAATTAAAATATTGGCTAAAGTTGATCAATGGATTTTAAGTATTGAAATCTTAGCTGCTTGTTACGCCCCCTCTGCTTCTGTAGGCTACTGTAACTAATCAGTCATTTTCAGAAATAAACGTCATTTAAAATTAGCCCTGTGAAAAGCTACCTCAAATTAAGCATTTCTAGAGCTTTCGCTTGAAGCACACTGATATTATGTAAACTTGGTTGCTATAGTAAAACTTCCCACTCACTTCTTTTTTTTTTCCCTTCCTATTTTATACCACTGATGAGGTGATTTCATCCCACTGTGGGTATAAGGCCTTTGTTCCATTTTGTGGGTAATAACCCTATCTTTCCGAAAACGATTAGGCAACATTTTATGGCACAAGGCAGACACTACATGGGTGGAGGGGTTTTAAGAAAGACCTTTAATTTGGAGGAACACCCTGCTTTGTTAATAGCATGAAGATACTTGGGATAGTCAATCATCACCCTCAGGTCCAGCACAGTGCTAGTGCTGAGCAGAAGCTGCCCAGTACTGTTTGCTCCAGTTGGGCTGTTCATGACCTCAGCACTATATTTAGAGAATACTTAAGTAAAGTAGTAACAAGCAAATCTTTGGGACACCAAGTCCTACCATCCTGTTATTTATTTACAGTCCTATTGAAGAGCATCACTATTGATCTATAGGTGTTACCTTTGTGTTAGTGCCTTGAGCATATTGACACAAGACCAAGGCTTTTGTCAACCCAGTCTTATCTCCACTTGGCAACAGACATTGACTGTGGGGTTTTTTTGGTTTTCCTTTTTTCTTTTTTTTTTTTTTTTATGAACTACCTTA